GCTCCACCACCCGTGGGAAACACGTGCGACTGGCTGGAGGCGGCGGCGGGGGGCCCTTGCTAATGTCGCCAACTCACGCGACCCCCTTCGGCAGCGGCCCCACACACCTGGACTCGCGAGCTGGTCTCGCCGGTGCAGATCACACCTTGCCACTCGCCGTACAGCCCGCCCCGGGACAGGCCGCACGTGGACCACAGGGTGAGCGTCACTCCCTGCAGAGAACAACCGGCGTCAGCGAGCGCCCCCAACCCACGGCAGGCCTGGGGACGTGACAACTACCCCTATTTCGGGGCTCCCGGGTAGCAGAACGCAGGGTAACGGGGTGTCATTAAGGGGACGACGCGCCGCCTAGCGGGTTGGGCACTGGCTGAGGACGCCGGTTCAGTTCCTGGCTCTGCGACCTCAGGGCAGGTCCAGTGCCTCAGTTTCCCCCGCTGTAAAATGGAGCTAGGCTTCCCCCCGCTCCCAGAGGGCTGTGCAGAAACATGTGACCAGGCGAGGAGCGCCCCCCGGAGGCCAGCGCGTCCCCACCCCCGCCGGCGGCTACGTACCAGGTTCTCCAGCAACGCCGCCTGGTACGTGACTGCGAGCGAGAGCCGAGAACGGAGTTAGGGTGCCTGCCAGCTCTGGGACCGACTCCCTGAGTGACCGGGGGCAAGTCGCTCTGTGCCTCAGTTTCCCCATCTGTAAAATGGGGGTGACTCCTCTTGGGGGGGGCTGGGAGGTGGCGCGGACAGCCCCATCACCGGGGGGTGTCTCTCTTACACCCCACCCACGCTTGACGGGCTTGGGCAGTTATCTGGGGACCAGGGCAGGCATGGTGGAGCTAAGGATCCCACGTTTTGCTGAGGCTCAAGGTAATTACATACATGTGTGCACGTATGTGCACACTCATGTCCACACACACCTGTACACACCCATGTGCACACATACCCATGTGCACACACACCCTATGCACCTCCATGTGCACACGTACGCACGCACACCTATGCACATCCATGTGCACACGTAAGAACACAAACCTATACACACGTATGCACACACTTATGCACACGTATGCATACACCTATGCATATCCATGTGTACACGTACGCACGCACACCTATGCACGCCCATATGCACATGTAAGAACACACACCTATGCACATCCATGTGCACACGTAATAACAAACACCTATGCACACATACGCACACCTAGGCGTGCCCATGTGCACACGTACGCATGCCCATATGCACATGTACGCACGCACACCTATGCACGCCCATATGGACACATAAGAACACACACCTATGCACACACCTATGCACACCCATGAGCACACATACGCACACCTATGCATGCCCATGTACACACACACACCCATATGCACACGTACGCACGCACACCTATGCACGCCCATATGCACACATAACACACACCTATGCACACCCGTGTGCACACCTACGCACACCTATGCATGCCCATGTACACACATACACACGCCCATATGCACACGTATGCACACACACCTATGCACGCCCATGTGCACACATACACATGCACACCTATGCATGCCCATATGCACACGTACACACACACACCTATGCATGCCCATATGCACACATAAGCACACACACCTATGCACACCCATGTGCACATGTACATACACACACTTATGCACGCTCATGTGCAGGCACACCACAAAAGCAAAAGATCAGGCCCAGCCGGGGCGGGAGGGGAGAGGGGGTCTCACCGTAGCAGAGCCCCGAGAAGCCGGGTGACGTTGTCCGAGGGCTGGATCACCACCACCAGCTTGGCGAGGGCCTGGGACACGTCCAGCTGCAGCAGGGAGGGAAGCGACAGGCAGGTCGGCGGGGTCCCGGGGCTCCGAGCCCCACAGCCGGGCCCCGGGGCGCCCGCGCTCAGACCCCCCCAGCCGGGCCCCGGGGCGCCCCTCCTACCTCTCGGACGGCGTTCTGGTTGAGCGCGAGAATCAGCAGGGCCGAGGCTCCGAGGACGAGGGCTCGCTTCATCTGCGGGGAGACGGGGACGCAGGAGCCAGGAGGTTGAGCCCAGCATGCTGGGGTGGAGAGGGAATTGAACCATCCCCCTCCCAAAGATTATCCTGAGGGTCACTCGCGGGCTAGATCCCGGGACACTGTTGTAGAGAGCCCCCCGGGGCTGGCACACACAGGGCGGGGAGGGCAGCCTCGGGGGTGTCCCGGGGGGAGCTCCGGCCGGGCCCGGAGGCAGCGGGGCCGGGGCTCATCCCAGATCCCGGGACACTGTTGTAGAGAGCCCCCCGGGGCTGGCACACACAGGGCGGGGAGGGCAGCCTCGGGGGTGTCCCGGGGGGAGCTCCGGCCGGGCCCGGAGGCAGCGGGGCCTCACCTTGTTGACCACCGCGGCGGTGAAGGACTCCTCCTTGCCGCCCCTCGAGATCTCCGCCTGCTCCTCCCGCACCGGGACCACCCCGATCCAGGTGTCCTCCCCTGCCAGCTCGGGCTCCGCGTCCCCCATCTGCAGGGGGAGAAGGTGCCGGGGAGCGGCCGTGGCCCATCGCAGGGCTCG